AGCGAACATTTGTTAAAACAATTCTCTAAAAACTTATTTAAAAAAAAAAGATATATTTTGATAATTTGAAACTCGTAAATTTGAATCTCTCGATAAAGTGAACATTTTTTCCCGGTCCCTGTGTGCCGTGTCATCCTGAATTTTGTGTTTCCTATTTTTCTACATTAGAAAATCATAATTTTATCTAGTGAACATTTTCCCCGTGTCACATTGCCGTGTCATCCTGAGATAATCTTATTTTGATAAATAATATTTAAGATAACACTCTTAGTGATAAGAAAACTTGTTATCATCGTCACAATGGGGGCGCTGCTTGCGAGTTAAATCTACAAATCTGCAAATAACTCTAAGGATATTCAAGATATTCATGAAATTATTTTTCAAAAACTTCCCGGTGATATACCTAATAATATCCCAAAATTTCACGGCGATTGGATGTATGGTTTTTGAATCTATATAGTACAGACAAACAGACAGACATTCAATTTTATATATATAGATAATGTCGCCACTGTACCCTAGTTGTGGTAGGAACCAGTGACAGGTTAATTCTATACATATTTACGACCCTCGTGACACCACTTACAGACAGACAGGGTATAGTGTACTGTCACACTTATAGATCTATAATGTCACCACTGTACCCTAGTTGTGGTAGGAACCAGTGACAGGTTAATTCTATACAACTTTACGACCCTCGTGACACCACTTACTGACAGACAGGGTATAGTGTATTGTCACACTTATAGATCTATAATGTCACCACTGTACCCTAGTTGTGGTAGGAACCAGTGACAGGTTAATTCTATACAACCTTACGACCCTCGTGACACCACTTATAGACAGACAGAGTATAGAGTACTGTCACACTTATAGATCTATAATGTCACCACTGTACCCTAGTTGTGGTAGGAACCAGTGACAGGTTAATTCTATACAACTTTACGACCCTCGTGACACCACTTACTGACAGACAGGGTATAGTGTATTGTCACACTTATAGATCTATAATGTCACCACTGTACCCTAGTTGTGGTAGGAACCAGTGACAGGTTAATTCTATACAACTTTACGACCCTCGTGACACCACTTACAGACAGACAGGGTATAGAGTACAGACACACTTATAGATCTATAATGTCACCACTGTACCCTAGTTGTGGTAGGAACCAGTGACATGTTAATTCTATACATCTGATGGGGATTCGCGAGTTCGTTTCTTTGTTGAAGGAGTTTCTTCTACTTTGTACTCGATGCCACATCTTTCAAGAATTTTCAAATGTATGTTGGTTTCGATTATACTGACCTTTTCGCCAGCTGGGCGGATCGTTGATTTGATTACAATAGGCTGCATCTTTTTTAACCCCAAATATATCAATTTTACTTTTTAATGCATTTAAAGCAAATATTTTTAAAAAGGTATTTTCATTATTTATTTAATTTCGAATTCATGACTGATAATTAAATATCGAAAAAAATCTATGTTTGTTATCGCGTTGCGCAAAATCTACAGAATCAATCATTATGAAATTTCGCATGTAGGTAGCTGAAGATTTGTTTAACATATAGGCTATTCATAAACCTAAAAAGATTAATGTCCTTTTTTTAAAAATGTAGAACCAAAAAAGCGTTAGTTCCAGCCTTTTACCGCTTGGCGGAGCACTGGTCGCGACAATAAATGAATTACATTGTATGTGATGATGATAACAAAAATGAATTTTTCAATTATTATACATAATTCATTGAGAATAAAAAAGAAATAATCTATATCTACTTATATATTTGCCTTATTCTGTCTGTTTGTCTGTTTGAAGCTCACGGATGGGATTTTTCATAACCATCGGTGGTTCAGTGGTAGAATGCTCGCCTGCCACGCGGGCGGCCCGGGTTCGATTCCCGGCCGATGCATTTTTTTTTTTTTTTTACAATTTTTAAAACTCATTTATATATTATACAAGAATGACATCCACGGCGCCAATTTCTAATTGTAATGAATAGTATTTGAATAAAAGCATTTAATCGGGTAAAACCCGGGCGTTGCCCGGGGCATTCGTATATAATAATTGTATAAACGAATGCAAGACAAAATCACCGCGAATGTTTCTTTTTTTTAAGGCAATTATCGTTATTTATCGTTTATTTTTGTTTCGATTTTATTGAAAAAAAAAAAACGATATGGTACCTTTAAAAAATGATCTTTATTACTATGCAGTTTTCTATTTAGTCAATATACCTAAGTTCATGTTGCAAATGTAATTATCTCTATCGATTTAGTAGGTATTTCACCTACTGCAAAAAAAAAAAGAAAAAATGAAATCTTTATGAAAATTCACATTTTTATTTTTATATTTTCAAGACACACACAGTTTGGGGCGGGACGTTTCACAAGAGAGACATCCACGGCGCTAATTTATAATTGTAACGAATAGTATTTTAATTAAAACATTTTAAAAACACACAGTTTGGAACGGGACGTTTCACAAGAGTGACATCCATGGCGCCAATTTATAATTGTAACGAATAGTATTTGAATTAAAACGTTTTTAAAATATATACGCACTCGGGTAAAACCCGGGCGTTGCCCGGGCCATTCGTCTAGTATATATATAATTGGATGTCTGTCTGTCTATCTGTCTGTCTGTCTGTACTCTATAGATTCAAAAACAATACATCCAATAGCCGTGAAATTTTGGGATATTATTAGGTATATCCCCGGGAAGGTTTTTGAAAAATAATATTTTGAATATCTTGAATATCCTTAGAGTTATTTGCAGATTTGTAGATTTAACTCGCAAGCAGCGCCCTCATTGCGATGATGATAGCAAGTTATTTTTATCTAAGAGTTTATTATCTTAAAGATTCACTTTATCGAGAGATTCAAATTTACGAGTTTCAAATTATATCTATTATTCTTTATAAGTTTATTATCTTAAAGATTATTTATCAAAAGTAAGATTTTCTACCTATTAATTGCGCACAAGTCAAAGTTAGTTTTATCATTTATCTACAACATATATATTGAGAGAATAGATAAAATGATGATTTTGTAATGTAGAAAATTAGGAAAGACAAAATTCAGGATGACACGGCAATTTATTTGAGACAAGAATAATGATAATTAATATTGATTTTATTCAACTTATCGAGTATTTTTCAAGGGACTGGGAAAAAATGTTTCACTTTATGGAGAGATTCAAATTTACGAGTTTCAAATTATCAAAATATATCTATTATTTTTTACATATGTTATATTCAAATGAAATTTATATAGGCATAATTTTATTGTTAATTTTCATTTTGATGTATTGTATACATTTTATCATTAATAAATTATTATTTAGGTATTGAAAGTGCCTTTTTGTTCAAAGACAGCAACGTTTGAACGGGTACAGCTAGGTGGAGCAGATAATCAAACATAAAGTTATCTTGCCAAGTATAGATTCAGTAGGGATTGGATGTTTTCTAGAATTGTTTTAACAAATGTTCGTTAGGTAAACTTTCACTAGGGTAAAACCCGGGCGAAGCCGGGTACATCCACTAGTTAATTTTAAAATTCACAAACGTGACAATATCTTATTTAAAATTTAATAAATATTAAAAAAATAATATGTTTCAAAAATATATTTAAACGGATATATATAACAATATTTATAAACGTTTATATATATAAATCTATATATATGTGGATTGGATGTTTGCTAGAATCGTTTTAACGAATGTTCGTTAGGCAAAAACCGGGCGAAGCCGGGAACATATATGTTTGTCGGCTATGCACGCTCTCAATATGTAAATAATCTCGCTGAAATTTGAACAGGACAGAGAGTAAATCTGGAAGAGTTTTTGTCGCGCTTTAACCAAAAAAAAATATAAATAAACAGGTACTGAGCAACAATATTTTTTTTTAGTCAGAAATGATGATGATAATATTGCTGTATCATGCTTGATTGCATAAACAAAATTCTTTAGGGGAATATTCACTAAAGCAGACCCCGGGCGAAGCCAGATAATAATTTTAGTAGGCAGGAACAAAATTCTACCAGCGAAACATTCACTCGAGCAGAAGACACACGAAGCCTGGTCATCTATATATATAAAATATCGTTTCTCGGCCTTTTAGCTAAGATCTTGTAGTATATCTCTATATATTTTTATTTATATATATCTTTTCAAATAATATTCAGTAGAGAGAATGGATATTTTTTTGCTCGAAAAATATATTTTATATATTATATAATAATAATCTATATTAATAAAATGGAAATTTCATAAGTGTTGTTCGCTAAAAACTTTCGTTACAATGCATCAATTTCGACCAAATTTTCAACATTTATGTAAAACGAGATGGAGCAGGTTTTGCTTAACATCAAAATATTTTTCCTAACATTAACATGCGTAACTTCGGTGTTATCGATTAAATACAAAAAAAAAAAAATCAACAGAGTTAATTTTATTTATATACAAAAAAAAAAAAATTCAACAGAGTTAATTTTTTTACATACTAGCTAATAATCTCAATCTGAAAAATTATTCAAAACAAGCAATTTTAAGATAATACCATATGTAAAACAGTCGGCCAAGAAAACAAAAACGATATTACATCTTTCTCACATATTCACACACAATCTTGATTAATAATTAAAACTAATCTTTAACATTGTTTATTATACTTCATAATATATAATATTCGTTAGGCAAACTTTCACTCGGATAAAACCATAAAACCCGGGCGAAGCCGGGTACACATCCGCTAGTAAATATATATATACAAGTCATGTATATAAAGTCAATTTCTGTCTGTCTGTCTGTTTCGCGATAAACTCAAAAACTACTGAACCAATTGGTACCAAATTTTGCATGTCGCTTTTTATAAACCTGAGGAAAATTTTCGGCTGCATTTTGATTAGTATTTTTGGCTATTTCTTTTTTTCATTTGAAGAACTTTTTTTTACGCGGACTAATCCGGAATGGAATGAATACCTAAATATAGCCATTTTTTTAAAGCATCGGTGGTTCAGTGGTAGAATGCTCGCCTGCCACGCGGGCGGCCAGGGTTCGATTCCCGGCTGATGCATTTTTTTAAAACAATTTTTAAAACTCATTTATATTATATCTTCTATATATATAAAAATGAATGTTTGTATGTTTGTTTGTTGGTTTGTATGTCCGGTATACAAATTCGCAGTAGTTCACTAATTCAAACCAAAATTTCCATACATAGGTAAAAAAATACGGGGAAGACGATAGGCTATTTTAAAAAATATATAAATCAATTATTAAAACTATATATTACTAGACGAATGACCCGGGCAACGCCCGGGTTTTACCCGATTAAATGTTTTTATTCAAATAATATTCGTTACGAATATTCATTCTGCTCGAATGAATGTTTTTCTGTTAGAATTTTGTTCCTGCGTACAAAATAATGAACTGGTTTCACCCGTGGTCTCTGCTTTTTGGAATTTTTCCCGATATAATTATGTATCTAATAATCAAACATGATACAGCAATATCGTCATCATCATTTTCTGACTAAAAATATATAGTTTTAATAAAAAAGTTAAAAATGTAAAAAAAAGTTCTTCAAATGAAAGAAAGAAATAGCCAAAAATACTAATCAAAATGCAGCCGAAAATTTTCCTCAGGTTTATAAAAAGCGACATGCAAAATTTGGTACCAATTGGTTCAGTAGTTTTTGAGTTTATCGCGAAACAGACAGACAGACAGACAGAAATTGACTTTTATAAATATAGAGAAGAGATAATATAAATGAGTTTTTAAAATTGTAAAAAAAAAAATGCATCGGCCGGGAATCGAACCCGGGCCGCCCGCGTGGCAGGCGAGCATTCTACCACTGAAACACCGATGCTTAAAAAAATGGCCATATTTAGGTATTCATTCCATTCCGGATTAGTCCGCGTAAAAAAAAGTTCTTCAAATGAAAAAAAGAAATAGCCAAAAATACTAATCAAAATGCAGCCGAAAAATTTCCTCAGGTTTATAAAAAGCGACATGCAAAATTTGTTACCAATTGGTTCAGTAGTTTTTGAGTTTATCGCGAAACAGACAGACAGACAGAAATTGACTTTTATATATATAGAGCAGTGTCTGGCAACCGGTGTACCGTGGCACACTGGTGTGCCGCGAAGAATTCTAGGTGTGCCGCGAACATTTTTGTAGGTATTTAGAACTTTTGGTTAAATTTAAAAATTATGTTTCAAAAAATATTTTTTATAAATTTTATTCAATTTTAATAATTTTTTTTCAAAAATTTTCATATAAAAAATGAAATTAAAAAAAGCAAATTTCATTTTATATAAAACTTATTTTGGTATTATAATTACAACAGTTTGCATAATTTTATATTTCATATAACGTATGTACATAATCTTGACGTACATAACTGGCACGTGCCATTATTAAAAAATAATAATGCAAATAGGTACGTACCTATTTAAAATCATAAGTTAAAAAAAAAACAATCCGCGAAAACAACTTTATTTAATAAAGTTGAATACATACTGCGGGAAAATACCTAATTTTTAAAATAATATGTCCAAACTTAACCGTCATTTACAATCTTTGTCACAGCTGTTTATTAATAGAGACTGAAAGCTACAAAGCTTAAAAAAAAGAAAACAAAAAAAAAATTATAAATTTATTTTAAAAATTTATTCGGAGTTTTCGTCAAAGTATTGCTGTAGTAATTCTTCATTTTTTTTTTGCATGTTGTAAAACACACACACACATTCACACAATAAGTTTTGTACACCGTAAAATCTGTTGGTTAAATTTTTTTTTAATTTCATTTTTTATATGAAAATTTTTGAAAAAATTATTAAAATTGAATAAAATTTATAAAAAATATTTTTTGAATCTGTTCTCACAGGTGCGCCGCGAAAAAAAGAAATTAAGCTTAGTGCGCCGCAACTCGAAAAAGGTTGCCCGACACTGATATAGAGATTAGTCAGAAAATGATGATGACGATATTGCTGTATCATGTAAGATTATCAGATACAAAATTATATCGGGAAAAATTCCAAAAAGCAGAGACCACGGGTGAAACCAGCTCATTATTTTGTACGCAGGAACAAAATTCTAACAGAAAAACATTCATTCGAGCAGAAAACAAAAGCCAGATCATCTTTCTATAAAAATATCGCTTCTCAGACACAAAGTTTGGAGCGGGACGTTTCACAAGAGTGACATCCACGCCGCCAATTTATAATTGTAACGAATAGTATTTAAATAAAAACATTTAATCGGGTAAAACCCGGGCGTTGCCCGGGCCATTCGGCTAGTATAAATATATAATGTAACGAATATTATTATCATAATATTCTGTGAGCTCCAGAATATTTTTATCAATAATATTCGTTAGGCAAACTTTCACTCGGAAAACGGGCACACATCCGCTAGTATTTAATAAATACCTTTTTAAAAAGCTTTTATTGCATTAAACTAAAAATGGAAAATAATTTTTAGAAATCACATTCTTAAATGGATTTTTCTTTAAATAAAATAAATCTTACTTCATTTAAAAGTGTTGAGAGAAAATTCAAAAGCACTTGTAAAACGCGCTGACATTAAAATTTTATTAAATCTATGGCATATATATACAGAATATATATACAATATAAATATCTATATTCATTGTGGGTTGAATATTTTAATATTTCACATTTTCAGTTTCCCAAAATGAGTGGTTGTTAAACAATCTAATATTCGACTTTGATATATAGGGAAGATGGTTTTCAATTTTGTTTTCAAGAGAATCTCGCTAATTTCATTCAAATATGACTTTCTATGTTTCCCTTTGTTGTATTGATTTAATATAAGTGAACTATATTTAGGATATTTGGTCAGGTAACTTTCCTCAGCCAACTCTTCATTAAGTTTCTCTGAATGAAGAAGATAGGAAGCCAAAACATTATCGTTTGTTTCCTCGCAGAATTTACCATAGGTGATACTGGTTCCACCTATGAAGTCTTTATGTAATATTACCGCTTCCTTTTGACATTTATCCCAGAATTTTGAATAACGCTTTCTTTCAACAATGCTTTCTGGTTTCTCTAAATTGGGATCATATAAAAGGGCACGTTCAATTAAAATTCTAATTATTTCTGGTGTGGCTTTTTCCACGGCTTTATCCAGAATTTTAACTCCTTCAATGTCTGTTACATCAATTCTGGCTCCAGCTTCTATTAACGTCTTGATACGACCAATATTTGGCTCCCAGAACAAGTGTAATGCCCTATACAATGGTGTCTTATATTCAGAATTTCTGACGTTGACCTCAGCCCCCGCTTCAATCAGAAACTTCGCTACTCTTTCATCATTATAAAATATAGCACGATGTCCATCATCACTTTTTGCATGAATATCGGCTCCTTTTTCAACCAAAAATTTAATTGTAGGAAAATCACTTCCAATTGCCCATATAAGAGGGGTATTCCCTTCATCATCTCTCGCATTTATATCAGCTCCTAGATGCACCAGAAGCCTTATTACACCCAATTTATTAAAAGTTAAAGCCGAAAATAGAGGATTTTGACCATCTTCTATATTTTTACTATTCACATCGGCTCCGTGTTTAAGCAAAATATAAGTTGTTATCACGTGACCACATAGTGAGGAATAATGAAGAAGGTTGTTGAGCCTTTGAGAACTCAGCTTTTTTCCAGATTTCAATAAAGCCATAACTTTGTTAACTTGTCCTTTTTTTACCGCATATGTCAGTGATTTACGATGTTTCCGTCGGTTGGAAGCCTTCGCAGGGTTCATAGCGTATGCTAGCTTCCCTCCAAGAATCTTCTTATTTTCAATTCTTCTAAGTCTCTGCATAATAGAATACATTTTCTGAATTGATTGTTTGCTTAATATTTTTGAACTATTATTTAGAGAATATAGATTTTACATTTTTGTTTCAAAATAACAAGAGGACGAAAAAACATATCAAACAAATAATGAATTACTTTATATACTCTCTGTGAAAATTTTAAAATTATTTTTTTTTTATTATTTATAAAAAAATATTTTTTTAAAAATTATTTTTAAAAATAAATTTATACACCCAACTTTATAAATACAATTTTGGAGAAAGAGGCCTACCCCAATTTTAAATAGGTAACCTTGTATCATTAACCCCTATTGGTATTTTATTTATTTATGATATAGGCTTAGAAAAATACGATGATTCTTCTTAAGGATTTCTAGTTGTTTTTTGTACTCACTTATGTTGTAGTTACGAGGACATCCCTTTAGATAAGAACAAATATATATTTATTTAAGGAACGACTTGTTCCATTACATATATTGTTAAGACAAGCTAGCGGTAAACATAACAGCAAGGTTGAAAGGTAGAAGTTGAAAGTTGTGGCGTCATAGTAGTGACGTCAGCATCTATGATGATTAAAGTCAAAGTTTGCGTAACAATTCCCTCCTTACTTTGGCTTTATTCCCACGATGCTGAGGCTCTCCAGGTGTTTCTTCATCTGGTCTCGGGATAGGTCCTTTGTGAAGATATCCGTCTCCAGGTCCTGGGATGGCTTGTACAGCAGGCAGATGTCTCTGGATTCATAAGTCTCTCAAGAAGTGGTACTTTCTGTTGATATGTCTACAGCGACTGCTTTGTTTAGGGCTGGAGATCCAGTTGATCAATGACTGACTGTCTGTATAGATCGCAGTTGTTTTTTCCATGAAATTCCATTCTTCCAGCTCTCGTAACAGGTTTATTATCCACTTGATTTGACAGCAGCTTTCACAAGCAGTTATCATTTCCGCTTCCATTGTGGAGAGGGCGACGAGTGGTTGTTTACTACTTTTCCAGTCTATAGTTGCTTCGCCGAGCTTCAATACATATCCGCCGTAGGATTTTCCATCATGAGTGGTCGACCAGCTGGCATCGGTGTAGGACTTCAGGATTCCAGTCTTCCCTCTTTCAAATTTCACTCCTAGGTCAATTGTTCCTCGCAGGTATCTCATCACTCTTTTGATTGCTATCCAGTGCATCTGTTTTGGTTGTCTGGAGTACTGTGAAAGTTTGCTAGTGATGTAAGCGATGTCGGGTCTGGG